CCTCATTCCCACCTCCAGACCCAGTGTGAACAAGGCCCTACCTCTACCTCCAGACTCAGTGTGAACAAGTCCTCATTCCCACCTCCAGAATCAGTGTGAACAAGTCCTCATTCCCACCTCCAGACTCAGTGTGAATAGTCCCCATCTCCACATCCAGACCAGTGTGAACAAGCCTTTACCTCTATCTCAAGACCCAGCATGAACAAACCTTCATTCTCACCTCTAGACCCAGTGTGAATAAGACCCCATCTAAAGACTCAGTGTGAACAAGCCTCCAGCTCCAAAGTGAATGACTCCCACTTCCATACTTAGTGTGAATAAAACCCCACCTCCAAGTTCAGCTCCAGTGTGAACAAGCCCCCACCTCCCCGGCTCAGTGTGAACAATTCCTCACCAATAGTCACAGTGTGAATGACCCCTCCACCTTTAACCCCATCTGCGTGAACAAGCTTCCACCTCCTAGGCCCAGGGTGAATGACCCTTCCCCTTCCAGATCCAGGGTGGACGACTTCCCCAGGGCCTTCAGGGACACACTCAGTCTCTGATTCCAGCTTTTATTGAGCTGAGCATCCCCAGCAGGGAGGGCCGTGCCTCAGCTTCCATCCTCTCTCAAGGACACTTGAGTGACACAGCACTGACCTGAGTAGGGGGCCTGACTCCTGGCCCCCCACCGCCGACTGAAGGACACAATTTCAGACAGGCTGTTTGAGGAAGGTAGGGTGTTGGCGGGGCTGGGGTGGTGCACCTGGCGGCCGAGGGACAGTGCTAGGGACTCGGTGACATGAGCAGCCCCGAGGGTCATTCAAGCAGAAGGAGGGCTGGTTCAGGGGACAGCGGCCGCGGCCATCCCCTGCCCCTCCTGTACCCAGTGTAGGTCACAATAATTTAAAAGACACTATAGACATTTCGACGATATATAACAATATAAGTTAATCAGGTTCCTTGGCAGGGGATGCTAGGCCTTGTGGACAAGGCCAGAGCGGGTGGGTATTTTGTGGCAGCTGGGGGGTGGACATCCTGGCTTGATCAGAAGCCAGAACACACATCCACAGGCTTCACTGGAGGAGACACCCCACGTGGGGGATGTGGGCAGTGGGGGGAGCTTTGGAAGCAGGTTGCAGACCCCGTCTCTGGCCTTGTCCAGTGGCTCACCCTGTGCTGTGGTTTCCTCGGGGAGGGAGCCCCCCAGCAGCATGCCTGCTCCTCTACTCCCAGGTTTGGGAGCCGAATGATCTTCTAGTGGAGGGCCAAGGGGTGTAGGTGTGCGACTCCCCTGGAAGGCAGCTGTGGAGTGAATGTTTATTAGGATCTTGAGCCCCCCCACAACCCTGGCATAGGAAGGGGTCTGTTTTCTCAGCATGTGGGGAGGGAGGAAGGAAAAGAGAATATTTAAGGCTGGGAAGGTGGCCCCCAGGAGTCCTCAGAGAGGTGCAGGTCTGACTGGACTGTGTGACAAGGGACTTTTCATCCTTCCCTGGGACTCCCCAAGACATATTGTCAGGGTCCTAAGGCCAGCACCCAGCCAGAAGCCTTTGCTCACAACCTCAGGGCCTCAGTTTCCCCATATGTCAGTGAGGCAAACCTCTCCAAGCTTCCTCGGCCCACTGTGGCTATGGAGGACAGGCTGGTGCCAGGTGGGGAACCGGCAGCACCAGCACAGGAGACATAGCACACCTGGAACCTGACCCAGTGACACTTGATTTGCAGATATGATTTTCATAGAGAAGAGAGGGGCCAGGGGCTTCTGTCCTGCCTCTCAGTGTGCTCCCAGAGGTCAGGTCAGCACTCAGCCTGCCCAGCTCATCCACAACCCCAGGTCCAGGCTGCCCGCCCAGGGGGCACTGAAAGTCAGGCTGTGTGGGCACCATGGGCAGGGCTGCTCTGGAGGTCATCGCAGGCCTTCTCTCCCCCAGTGGGCAGGAAGGGCCAGCCTAGAGAGCCAGAGGAGATGCAGCAAGGGTGGCAGGAGTGGCACTGGCCGAGGACGGGGCAGGATTGCCACATGTCATGCCCAGAGCCGCTCTGGATACTACAAAACATAAATAATCACATCAACATTGTCCAAAGCCCGGCCGAGTGGCTGCCCCATCCGGGGTCTTGTGTGTGGCTGGCTAGCTGGGCCTCTGTGTCCAGGCCATTGAGTCGGGGAGGGACACTCGGTCTCAGCACTGTCGCCGTGCAAGGCATGTCTATCTTTGAGATTCGCTTTTCCAGTTTGTGGATTGAATCATGTCCCCCCAAAGGCAGGCTATCAGTGCTGGCCCCCACAATATCTGTGGCGTGAACCCCACAGGGATGGGCTGTCATTTTGTTAATGACACAGGATTAGTGAATTTTGAGTTGATCTCTTTTGAGATAGAAGAGAATTAAACTAGCAAGCTTGCAAGCAGAGGTGAAGGAGACTAACACCAAGCCACATGGGGACACAGAAGCAGCTCGAGAACCAAAGCTGAAGAGACAGGGACTTGAGAGAGAAAGCCTTCCCCGGGAGCTGGCGCCTGGACCGGCCTTCTGGCCTCCGGAACGGTGAGACAACCCATCTCTGAGTGCTAAAGCATCCACCGCGGTGTCTGCGTCATAGCAGGACAGAGAACTGACATGCCCGGGAAGAAGGGAGGAGTCCGTTGGCCCAGCTGGGAGCACCAACGCAAGGCTGGTCTTGGACAATGTTCTGCTTCAAGAGGTGGCCGGAACAGCAGGTAGGGGCAGGGAGAAGATGACAGGCCCCAGTAGTGTTCTCCTGCTCCTAGGGTTGCACCTTCTCTGCCTGCCTTCGGCCACTGCCGGCTGAAGCCCTGGCAGGGGAGGGCAAGGAGGGATGTGCAAAATGCCGCGTGGCCACCTGCCATGGCCTCAACATGCCTGCCTGCCATGGCCTCACTGTGACTGTGCCATGGCCTCATTGTGGCCACGCCATGGTCACCTGCCATGGCCTCACTGTGGCTGCCCTCTGTGGTCTTACTGTGGCCTTGCCGTGGCTGCCCAGAGTGGCCTCACCGTGGCCACACATTGGCCTCACCGTGGCCACGCATTGGCCTCACTGTGGCCTTACCGTGGCCATGCAGTGGCCTTGCCGTGGCCTCACTGTGGCCTTACCATGGCCATGCAGTGGCCTCACTGTGGCCTCGCCGTGGCTGCCTGCCATGACCTCACTGTGGCCAGGCAGTGGCCTCACCGTGGCCTTGCTGGCCGGCCCTCACTTGCAGGTGAAGACCTCGGTGCGTTCGCTGCACGTGTTGCACTTGACGAAGCAGCACCAGTGGAACTTGCAGTTGCACTGCCAGACCTTGGTGTACTGGTGCGTGTTGTAGCCACGACCGCAGCACATGGTGTCACAGCCGTCGGCACCGGGCGAGGTGCGGTTGCACAGGCGGCCCTGCGTGCCCACGCTGCCCGTGGCCGCGTCCTCCTCACAGTAGTTGGGCGACTTCTCGATGTACACCAGGTCCGTCTCCATGGGCTTCTGGTAGCTGCGCAGCTGTTTGATGCGCAGGAAGGTGGGCTGCCGCAGGCGGCTGGCGCGCACCACCTCCACCTGCACGGCTGCGTTGTACTTCTCCTTGAGCAGGTGGCCCACCTCGCGGAACTTGGGCAGTGTGGTCCAGCACGTCTTGGTGGTGCAGGAGCCCGACACTCCGTGGCACTTGCATTCCAGCTTCATGCGCTCCTCCAGGACCTGTGGGGACAGAGTGGACAGCATGGGCAGCCAGATGAACTCCCACTGCCCCTGCCAGTCAGCACCCAGGACCATGTGGCCCTGTGCACGTCTCGCCTCTCCCACCTTGGTCGCCTTGTCTGTGAGATAGAGGTACTGGCTGTCAGCATCTTTGGCGTGGGACACGGGGAGGGCTGTGGGATGCTTCTCGTTGGGTCCTCACAACCACCAGCTGCAACAACCAGGCGGAGAAGCAGAGGCTGGTTGTCCCCAGCACCAGGTGCAAACGGGCTCTCACACACTGGGTGTGCACTGCCCCCTGGGGGCCCCTTGCTGTGTACCTGCCTCAGCTGAGAAGCCAGCGGCCACTAGCTCACCGTCCCTCAGCAGCACCGTATCCCCCTCCCCACCAGGTTTTCAGAGGCTGATCTTTCAGCACTAGAGTGCCAGGCCTTTCTCTGGAGGCACCTGGTGACAAACATCAATCTGTAACCTTTCAGCTGGCAGCACGTGCTTAAACAGTCTCCCCCTCTAACACTCTGCCCCAACAAAGCACACACTTGAAGGGGTCGCCCTTCCTGCTCCTCCCTCGCCTCACTGGGCCTGGTGGTCACTTGGTGCTTAACAGTGGCTGCTGGTCAGCCTTGAGGGAATTCTGGTAGTTTAGTGTAAGGAGCTGTGCTGCCAACCCCAAAGCAAGTGGTTCAAATCCACCAGCGGCTCTGCTGGAGAAAGATGGGCAATCTCACCCTGTACAATTTACTGCCTCTGAAAACTCACTGAAGGGTCATCTACAAGTCACTTCCGCCTCAACTGCACATAAGAGCAACACTCAGCCTTGAAGGAGTCCTAGCAGCCTAGCAAGTAGTGAACCAGGCTATTAAACAAAGGTTGGTGGTTCGAATGCACCAGTCAGTGGGTGGCAGAAAGATGGGCTGTCCCTTCCCATTCTAAGATTCCCAGACATGAACCCAGATGGAGGGTCCCATGAGTCCAAACTGACTCTCCAGCAGCAGGTTTTGGGTAACAAGCCCTGGTGGTACAGTGGTTAGAACCTGGCTGCTGAAACAAAGCCTGGTGGTTTGAATCCGTCCAGTGGCTGCTTCCGTAGAGATGTCGGTCTGAGAAGCCCATGGGCAATTCGGCTGGTCATGTGGGGTCACTGTGAGCTGGCATTGACAACAGAGGGTGGCGTGGTGGGGGGCTTGCTCAGGTGGGGGGGGGCTGGGCGGAGAAGCCACAGGCTGAGGCCACACAGCCCGCCATGCCCCCACTCTCTGAGGGTCAGAGTGGGTACAGGCTGCCTTCTCGTGGAGGCCCCCTCCTCCGGAAGGCCAATTCCCAGCATCAGCCCTGACCCCAGGTACTCATTTACCTGGATCGAAGGGCCTGCCAAGTTTGCCTGATTAAAGATGGGACTCGACAGTCCTATGTCAGCTGTTGTTCCCACTAGCCTTGCCTTAACCCTCAGGGGTTCAGCACCCCTGCATCCTGGCCAGCACTGAACCACGGGGACCCCCCCCCCACACACACATTCAGCCAATGAGTCAGGCTGGCTATCTCCTCATCCACTGCCAGGACGGGAGGGGTCACTGGCCCCCAACACATAGGGAGCTGGGTCAGGCCCAGCCGTTTCTGGCTTGCAGTGCAAGCTGGTCTCGGCAGATTGATCCCCCAGGATACCCGTGGGGCATGGAGGGACCTCAGGAAATGAGTGACCACGTGAAAACAATTCCCGGACACGGCTCCTTCAGCCCTTTCACCCGCCCAGCCTACGGCAGCCCAGAGCCTCAGAGCAGAGTGTGTGGGGGGGGTCTCCCAAACAGCTGCTTCCAGCTGGCCCTGACACCTGGAGACACTGCGTGTGCAGAGGACAGCTCTGCTCCATTGCGGTCGCTCTCATTGTTACAGGCAGATTCCCAGACCTTTCTCTCAAGGTTCTAGGGGAGCCCCATCAGTAACCCCTGTGGGTTAGTGGCTCAGCACTTCATCTACTGCGCTGCCTGGGACTCCCTGCCTCTCTGGCTCTTGAGTCAATGTGGGAGACAGAGGAGCGGGTTACCTTCCAGATCTGAGGGGGCTTCTTAGAGGAGGTGGCCTCTGAACTAGGTGTTGACATACAAGTAGAAGCTCATTAGACAAAGAGGGAGAGCAGTTCAGGTCTTATCAGGAACAAGTCTCTCAGCTGGACACCGGTGTGGGCCAGGGGACCTGGGGGCTAGCCCTGGGGCTGGGGCGGGGCAGGGCGTGGGCTAAGAAGAGGAGGGACAGTTTGGAAAGACAGCCCTGCTTCTGTGTAGATGGCTGGGGGGAGCTGGCCGGGGAATGATGTCTTTGAGGGAGGGAGAGGGAAGGCCCAGGCACTTGGAGGAGCAGAAGGGGGGTGGGTCCTTCTGAGGGCCTGAGGCAGGGGCAGAAGGGAGGGGTCTGGCCTAGGGGAGACCCCTCCTGCCCACCCCCAAGCACCCATCTCCAGGCCTTTGTCTGACCGCCCTTTTCCTCATCCACCACAGTGCACCTTTGCTCCATCCTGTCCCCTCCGCACTTGTCCTGGTCACACTGCCCCAGTGGCCCATCCCATCTGACAGTAGCCCCAGGAGCTGATCAGATGGCCGTACTCCCCCCATGGGGCAGCTCCTTCCAGCCCAGCAGCTGCTCCTCCAACAGACCTCAGGGCTCGAGACCTGTCAGGGGGCCTGGGTAGAGGCTGTAGGAGCCAGGAGGGCCAGGCCCACTCTCCCATCAGCTTTCCACTGGCCCTCAGGATGGCTGGCCTTCCCCACACCCACCCTACAGCCTGCATCAAGACAGTCTCCGCCCCCTCACCTGCCTGCTAGGCCTGGCTGATGCTACTACCTGTTTGCTCTCAGAGCCCGGGGCCACATCCTCATCCTCGCTTGGCTGGGTCCTCAGGCCTGGACTCAAGAATGTATCACTTCCTTCTCCATGTCCTCCTGATAAGAGCCCAGTGGACGGTGGGGCCACCACCCTCTATGACCAGAGCAGCCCCTCTGCCCAGGGGACCACCTGGGAGGGCAGGCATCCCTACTCAGTGAGCACTGAGTTGGTCGTGGGGTTGACCTAGTGTTTTATCTGGGGAAAGCGCTGTTACAGATAAGGCTGGTGTCCCCCAAGTCCCAAGCCCCTTGGTGGCCTTGAACAGGTCAGTGAGGGCTATGTCAGACATACACATGCCCAGCTCCCAGTGCTGGGTTGTCCTCAGCTATGGGCTCCACACTCAAGCCACCAAGGATTCAGTGCCCACCACCCAGAGGGACTGGCACCTTCTTTACTGGTCACTGAGTCTGGTGGAGGCGAGGAAGTGCATAACTCTCACCCCCGCCTGATGGCCTCTCCTGGGCCCCTCCTGTCCCTGCATTACCCAGTAAGGACCACAGACCACGCAGAGGGGCCTGAAAGTCTGACCACCCACCACACCTCAGACCCACAGTGACACTCAGCACACACGCACAGCGACTGTCTGTCCTGCACATCAGGTCAGAAGTTTGACCCAAACTGCAGGCCACATGGCCAACCTGGTTGAGGAAGAAGAGTCTGGACAGGGAGGGCTGGAGGGGACACACTGTGAAAGGGACCTGGGTCAGGTGTGAAGGTAGGAGGACCTGAACTCGCATGGTCAGGTGTGGCGGGCAGGGATCCTGACTCAGGTGTGACAGGCAGAGATCTTGGTTCAGGTGTGATGGGCAGGGATCCTGACTCGAAAGTGACCATTGACCTGGTTTCCATGGACTCCTCCCAGAGCAGCCCCCGCAGCAATCCCAGCGCTGTGAGGAGGACCCCGCCCCGCCCAGCACACTCCCTCATCTCAATCCTGTGCCTGGACCATGTGCAGACAGGCTACCCAGGGCTCTTGGACACGGGGAAGCACTGGCCAGCATCTGGCTGCTGACCACACTGGAGCCTCCTCCAGCATGTCCTGAGGCCCCACCTATGACCACTCTACTCTGTGGCCTTTCTCTCCCCTCCCTCAACAACCTGCGCTGGCTCCCTCATGCCTCTCCCCTCCCACCCCCTACACGTCTCCCAGCTCAAACCCAGAAGAGAGGACGTCCCCCCACCTAGTTCCCAGCCAGACGATGCTGAGAACCACAGACTCCAGGCTCTCCTTCCCCTACCCCAACAGGGCCACTGACTGCCCCAGGTCCTCTCCTGACCCTGTCTCCATCCCATGGTCCAGTGCTGGGTTACAACTGAGTCAGCCTGGCCTGGCCTTGAGCTCCCCAGAGGCCCCGAGCCAGCCTGTCCTCCACAGCTGTTCCCGGATGGCCCACTCGCCAGTCTATCCCTTCTCTGTCCCAACCACCCCCGATGAGGTCACACAGCATTGCAGACTTGCCCACGGTGACCTCTGCCGGTGCCCCCCACCAGACCTGACCTTCCTCTTCTCCCCGTGGCCTTGTGGGCACATCCCACACAACAGCAACTAGATGTGTGGGGCCTTGCTGTTCTCATCTGCAAAATAGGGGTGTGAGAGCCTATCCCCCTCCCTGTTCTCATCTGCAAAATGGGAGTGTGGGGAAGGCCCTGAACAGGACGTCTACCGAGGCTCAAGGAGTGGGGCTTCCATTCAGGACTCTAGTTCACCGCCTTCTGCGGGGAGCCCTCCTGGGTTCTCCTGAAGTCTGTGTCCTTTCCCCACACACTGGCTCTCATTAGGGCTCTGTCCTCCACCCCGTGTCCTCCGAGCCTGGAGCAGGGACCCGGGTCATAGGGACCCAGGGGACACTCGATCAGGCACAGCGGTGTCTGTCCCACACTCTGGGACAGCACAGTCTGGTGGGACAAGATGGGTCTTAACTGAGTGAATGCCTCCCTGGCATGGTCAGCTCCTCACCTGGTAGGGTGTGCCTGCCCCCACCCAGGGAGACCAGGCCCTGGCGCCCAGAGTGCAGTCCCCCCACCTGGGTGGGGGGCAGCCTGGCGAGGCGTTCTGCTCTGCTGACGCCCTATCTCAGGCCATCTTGCCGCCGCCAGGCCAGCGGCTCCTCCCAGCCCAGTATCTGGGGCCTCATCTCCCGTCGGGTGAGTGGGCGGGGCCAGACTGGCTTCACGTGACTTCTTCCCACTGTGTCCCTTCTGAGTGGCCCCCGGGGGGGCCACCACGCTCCATCCCACCCCACAAATGGCTTGAGGACCCTCATTTCTATTTCTGGGGAAGGGGGCAGCTTTTGCCTCCCCGGTCCTGCCCTCCCGGTCTCTCTCCTGGCAACCAGCCATCCTAGGTCTCACATGAAAACCACCTCCTCCAGGAAGCCTTCCCAGGTGTGGTCACAGGAGTGAAGAAGTGGAACTGTGGCCTGGAGGCCTCCACCCTCCCGCAGGCCCCAGGCCAGTGTTGGTTAACACACTGTGTGGACCCTCGTTGCCCATTCCCTGCTCAGAGCCTCAGCCTTCCCCGCTGTGGAGTGGGAGCTCCGGGCCAGTGTCCAGGCCCGTCGGGGGCTGAGTGTGGAGGACCCTACCTTCCTGCCGGCCTCGTTGTTGTGCAGATTCATGAGACGACGGGCGTTCTTCTTGATCTCGCGGGCGTCCACGAAGCGCCGGGAGAAGTCGATGCCGTAGCGCACGTCGGCAGAGCAGCCGCCCCACTTCCAGCCCTCCGCCTGGTTGTAGTAGCCCTGCTTCTCCCGGTCGCAGCCGCAGTTGCTCAGGTTGCCCTGACTGCAGGCGGCGGTGACAGCATGTGCCACTCCCGCTGCTGTGATGGCATAGGTGAAGGCGGCCTCCCGGCTCCCTGCGGGGACAAGGTGACAGGACCGTGACAGGACGCCCTGCTGGGCTGGTGATCTCTGTGGGGGAGCCACCACCGACCCTGCTCCTATGTGTGGGGACCCCAATCACGGAGCTGGAAGCTGGGGCCCTGAAGTGTGCAGATGCCCTTCCCAGAGCCAGGACACCCCGCAGTCGGGCAGAACCCAGCCCAATGCCCACAGCTGGGCCAGCGCCCTCCCCCAGGACCACCTTCAGTTGCCACCAGGTCCCCTGATGACCCCTCTCCTTCTGAGGCCCACCTGGCTCCAGAGCCCTCCTCTGCACAGTCCTGTCTCCCTCATGCCTCTAATTACCCCAAACACCAGCCAGTCCTGATGAGATGCAGCTCTGAGCAGAGTCTTCCCCCAGGCCTGCCCCCTCCCTCCCAGTGTTCTGCCTCCTCCAGGCAGCCCTCCAGGTCCTCTCACGGCCTGACACCCTGGGTCCCAAATGAGTTCACTGATCTGGAATCCTCCATCAGGGCTAGCCCTTAGGGTGAGGACTTCCTGCTCCACGTGACCCAAAGCCCCTTCTTCCTACTGTCATGGAGCAACCCCAACTCCAGCAGTCAGAGCAGAGTGGAACTGCTCCAGGCTCCTCAGGCTGGCTGAGCTCACAGCAGCAGAAGGCCTGGCCTGGCACTGAGGGCCATCTGAGTGCTTCGGACTCCATCCTCTCAGCTAGTGGTGAGTGCTGCCCAGGGACAGATGCCTGGTCTTGTGTGTTCGACTCTCCGTGGCCCCAGGCTCAGTCTCAAAGGACTCCCACCCCCTCTCAGGTTCCCCATCCTCAGCTCCTGGCACAAGCACCAAGGACGCTTTGAACTGACAGCCTAAGACAGTCCAGTCCAGTTTCAGACCCACCACCCACCCAGATGGCTGTGCCCCACCTCATGTGGCAGAAGCACCCACCGCTCAGTCCTGAGGGAGACCCTGTGGTCAGCTGGTGTGCTCCAGCAACCACCACTCCACCTGTCAACAGGCTGGGAGGTCACCGCCCTCAGGGGGCCCTGTCCTCTGTAGGGGGGTGACTTCCCTCTAGGGTAAAGACCATGAGGTGTGCAGGCCGAAGGCTCTGTCAACAGCACAACCATGTCCTGGAAACTTCTGGAAGAACCAAGAGGTGGTGTCCAGCATCAGTGCCCCCAACATCCCCAACAAGACCAGTGTCTGGGAGGCCTGTGATCCTGGCAATCCCCTTAGGACCCGCGAAGGCCCAGTATCATCGCCCACCCTGGCTGCCCCCACTCTGTGCCTAAGCTGCCACTGCAGGGTCCCTAACTGAGCTGGGGCTCTCCTCACTCTCTCAGGCCCTCACCCTCAGCCCGCCTCTCCCCCTCAGCCCACCTCTCCCCCCTCAACCCACCTCTC